GACTCCAGTCACAAGTGAATAATTTATATGTTTAGAAATGTTACAAAATTTGATTATACTCGGTCAAAATTGGAATAATAATGCATAAAAAATCAATTCATTGATTTGTTATGAAATGCAAGTAAAATTCAAATTCTTTTTCATCATTTTTTGGTCGTATGTAAACACTCAATGTGAAATTACATCCGTCTATGTTGACCTGAAACTGCGTTGGCAAATGCAACAGTGTTTTATCGACGTTGAAGTCATTATCACTAATTTCAGTCGGAAAATAGCACGATAAGCAATTTTTGGAAAATAAACTGAGCAATGATGAAGCATTTACCATTCTTCATGTTGATAAAAGTGCATTGTCAAAACTGAGTTCACCCATTCAAGCTAGTCACAATAAACATTGCATATATGAATATGCATTAGCTACTCAGAAAAAAAAAATGTAATCTTATTTAGGAGCCAGGAAAGATTGAAATGATCCAAAAATAATGCCTGAATTAGAACACATACAGTATTGTGTGCAATCACCTATTTGTAAATCAGTTAACATAAGCATGGGTTTATACTAGGCCAATAATACTCACTATGAAGGTACTGCTCCTCTCTTGTGGTGTTCTAATTTCTCATTCTGTTTTCTTTGATAGTTTTCAACAGCTGATACAGATGGTGATTGTCTTTGCTGCATGTATCTAGCTTGTCTAGCATTCAGGGCTATATAGTTGACATTCTCTCTCTTCTTCAGCATCATCTAGCACAAAAACAATGAGTAATATAGTATCATATTAATAATTATCTCATTCAATCTACTTTGCAGTACATGTATTTTCATGCAAAAAATTAATGTTGGTTTAAATTCATTTGGGGGGGGGGGTGTAGTTTATAGTGTATTTTAGTACCCCAGCCACCTCTGTTTTCTCGGCTATCTGATCCTTGTTCTGTCTGTGCATATCTTGACCTTCAGCATTTAAAAAAAAGAACAATCATGCAAGACAAGAAAGGTCACCCACTTGAATAATTATTACCGGTATATTACATGCCCACATTTGTCAACTGGTGTGTGATTTAAACGCCACGGAATCATCTAGGCTGTTGTTATATTTATGTTTGCTCTTGATGTTACATTTTTGAAGTTGCAGTAAATCAATGTAGTTTTAATGTAGTTGTGTCAAGATTATTATGCCAATAGATAAATAAAACACTTTGAAACTGGAGTTCTTTTTCTGTTTGAGTAAAATATCATTCACTGGCACCATGATGTTTTTTCCTCAAGAGATCAAGATGAATTGATTTAGTATACGATACTTTGTCGAGATTACGTAAAGAGAAAACCGATAAAATCTTGCTTTAAAATGTTGATGCGATCATAGCAGAAATGCACACCCTGAAATAGCGAGTGCGTCAAATGTACTCTATTGTACATTTTCTGATAACTACTGATGTACATGTTTATGCAACTTGCATGTATTTGGTCAAACCCTAAAATTCTGCATAAATGTATTCAAATTGAACCAAGTTGACCATGATAAAAAGTCATCAAACCATATGCTGAACAACTCTACACTGGCTGGAGTTGCTGTTGACAGAAACTAGACGTCAAGCATTTTGCCATGGTTGTAAGAGATATCTTGAATGTTTTGAGAAAATGATGCAAACTCTCTTGAAATGACGTGATATCTTGACACAATCATCTACTGATGTAGGGATCCTGACTCAAAAGTCAAACAAGGTGCACTGAAGTCCCTGGGTCGGCCACAAACCTCCTCCAAATGGTAATGCATTGATTTAATACTCAACATACATTCCACCCTGCTGAACATTTTGCTCATTGTGTGGTATATTCAGGCAAAATATAGTAATTAATTGAAAAATTTGATTTTATGAAGACAAGATTTGTTAGACTTGATTGGCGATGGCGTTGTTTGAGATTTTGTTTACTTATGGTAACTGCAAATAAGGGCGTATGAATGACGTGAATAAATACATTTCTCATCAAAAATGTGACCAATTAATGCATGTCCAATTTTAGAGAGCTGAAACATTGTTTACCAAATTTTCTATTCTATTTTTTCGATAGAGAAGTGGAGAAAACAGACGGAAGCAGATGGAGTACCTATTTTGATTAATTAGCTACCAGTATGTTCAGTACATTTTTGTTTTCTTACCTCACTTTCGGCTACTGATGGATCAACAGAGCATGCGACCGACTCTGTCGTCGAGGGTCGCGAGTTGAGCGGTGTTGATGACCTTGCTTGCATACTTGATGCCGTTGATGATCTACCTTGTATACTTGATGCCACTGACGATCTACCTTGCGAATTTGACACCCTTGGTGATCTACCACATACACTAATCTCTGGAGTTCCAGGCCTACTGTGAGCCCTTAAGTAGTTTGATGAATTTGGTCTAGGTGCAGGTGGGGGTTGCTGTAAATTATCAGAGAAGAAATTAATTAGCAAACTTTTAATTGAATTTGAGCATGAAATAAAACTTATCCTTCTATATCTAAACTATTAGATGATGTAATGTATATGTTACCAACAGTTGATGATAAAATGAACATTATTATAATCTTAATAACTTGACTGGTTCTTGCCAACTAGTCACTGCACATGTACACAAAATGTTAACAGGTGTGTTCTACAATGTGGATGATCATGTCAATATTGCTCAATACTGTTTTTATACTTTATGGGGGTATACTTACATTGAGATGTTCTGAAAGTTTTGAAGAAACCTCTTTGTATTTTTCTGACTGTGGTAAAACTTTTACTGGCTCACCACATTTTTTTTGTTCTTCTTCTTTCCTCCTACGATTCATTGTTTGTATCTGGCGCATTTTTCGGACATTTTCTTTTGCATAATCCCTAGACTCGACAGTCTCTAGAAAAAATATAAAGTTTTAGAAATAATGTTAATAAATGTAACACAGTGGCAAATTGAAGTTTTTCACTCAATATTTGTTTACATCAGTCAAAGTAAATGTGATAGTTATTTTTGATTTTAATCATTATAATACAATCTCTACATGCACTTCAAATTTTCAAATGTGGGAACTATAACAGAAAACACAGAGAGCATGGAAACAAATATGAACACACACGCTTGCCCAACTTGCCAACCTTTATAAACCAATCAAACTACCCTTGTGGTGAATCTCAGGCAGGAGGCATGGCAAGCAACTGATGCTGTCTAGACTAGAAAAAACAAACTATTTCTAGTTGCCAGCCAATTTGTGAGCTACTTTGCCAACTTCATGTTCCAGTAATTCTGAAACTTGCTCAGTAGCTACCCCTCAAACAGCAGTAGTTTGTTAAAATAGGATACAGTGATGTTCTTTTCAGAAGGAGACCACCATTAACAGGCATACTAATATCAATTACAGGACAGTAGTCATCATGACGTCACATGCAGAGTTCATGTTGTGTCCCTAGTATGAATCCCATATATTAGATTGTTAGATTACAAAAAACTCAAGCCATTGCAGAATAAAGACCACTGTCCTTTAACTTGCATCCACATTCCATAGTAGTTTAAATGGAAATCAATGTCAACATTCCATTTTCTCTTTCCTTGTACAACATACTTTGTCTGGGTGGTCTGTATATACCCTGGCCTTCAAGCTGTAAAAGTAGTCCCAGTGAACCTTTGTGTTTCTCAGCTATTGATTCAGCTTCTGGTCTCACCCTTGGCTTTGGTGCTGTGTCGCATGATGCCCACCCATTGCTAGACTGGTAGGTAGGGTCAGCGGGAATCGGACTTGACAACATGACCCTGTTTGCCTGATGAATGCTGCACCTGACAAAAAGATGATTTATTATAAGTACATGATAGCCTACAAGAAGAAACCTGCGAAATTAATGATGATCTGGCTGTAATTCAATTGTTTTAACATAAATCCTATGCCACTAAATTTTGAACTGACATAATGCTGGCAAATAATATTCTGTATATCGTGCCACAGTTGTCACACTGTGTCATGTTTGGTATGCATCCAATGTGATGTAGACAACACATGTACAAAACTTTGCACAGAATTCAAATGTTTGTTTCATGACTACCGTGTTTTCTCTATTAGAAATACATCTTCAATAGAAGCACATATAAACCAAAAATTGCATTTGGTGTATACTGAGAATTAAAATATTACTTATTTCATCAAATTTCTACATTTCATGTGAGTACATGCTTTAATTAGAATGTTATCTGGTCCAAAGATTTGAAGAGCAGTAACAATAATTAATGTAAATGTATTGACAAATAGTGAATACAGTATTTATTTAGTCCAAACAAGAGGTAACAGTAAGTTCATCTGCAATATCAAACCCAGTCAATAATTGAATATTTCTCACTCTACAGTCATGAAAGTCAATTTAATTATCATGTCTCCAGTCTAGATTTACAAATGATTTACTATGTAGCACATTTTACCACACTCAATCTTATGGTATGGAGAGCTAAGATGGTACATGTATCTTCTGATGTCCATATTTTGAGAGACTAATAATTGCCTAAATAAGAGGTAGTAAAATAAGAAGACCGAAACGAAACCAACAGCTATAGAAGCCATGATCAAAAGTGGACATTAAAATTCTCTCAATTCAGTAATGAACAACAACCATAATAACATTATTCAAAACAATTCGGTACTAAAGTACACCGACGGTGCTCAGTGATAATATTGTGAAAGCTGGTATACAATTTATTTTACAGCTGATTAGTATTAATGCAAGGGGTACAGTCACTTCGCCCGAAATCCACTTCGCCCGAACTCCTTCGCCCGATTACCAGTTCGCCCAATTACCGGTTCGCCCAATTACCGGTTGGCCCGTTTTCCTTTTCGCCCGATTTACCGATGTTACACACTAGGCCTACTGGGGGTTTCGATTCGAAATGTACATCTGGTAAAATGCATAAAATCTACCATATGATCGCATTTTAGTCAGGGTTTTCTTGTCGATGCAAACACTGCAACTGATGTCCGCCATTGCGGGTAGTCATCCCCATTCACAATAGGTTCCTAGGGTTTTTTCCTAGGGTTTTTTTCCTAAGGGGTTTTCTTTCCAGACCCCTAACGTAACATGGGGCGATTTTTTTTATTATCAGTGGGACTGATATAATGCGACTTAACATAACATGGGACGATTTTTTTATTACAATGCGACTTAACGTAACATGCGACAATTTTTTTATTACAATGTGACTTAACGTAACATGCGACGATTTTTTTATTACAATGCGACTTAACGTAACATGGGACAATTTTTTTATTACAATGCGACTTAACGTAACATGCGACGATTTTTTTATTACAATGCGACTTAACGTAACATGGGACGATTTTTTTATTACAATGTGACTTAACGTAACATGCGACGATTTTTTTATTACAATGCGACTTAACGTAACATGCGACGATTTTTTTATTACAATGCGACTTAACGTAACATGCGATGATTTTTTAAAATAAAATTACGTTACAACCCCGTTGTAAACTTCACGTTCGTCACCTTATAAAAACAAATTTCGACTTCTACGTTATCTTGTTTTGACTACACGTAAATACCAAACATACGAGGAATCAGGCGAACTGGTAATCGGGCGAAATGGCAATCGGGCGAAATGGTAATCGGGCGAACAGGTAATAGGGCGAAACCGTTCGGGCGAAGTGGTAAATGGGCGAAATGCCCCCAATTCTTAATGCAAGCACCGTCAAACCTGATAATGAAATCACGTCCTAACCACGAATTAACCACCGTGACGTACACACCAAAACGAGGTGATAAAGAAAAAAAGAGCACAGTTAGCTTATATAACCTACAATATGGCAGAACATATGAGTAAAGAAATGAGAGTTACTCAAAACATGGCTATCTATACTCAAATTGTATAATGTATTTCAGTCGTTGGCCAGAACATTATTTGGCTCAAATTTTAGGAAATGTCAAACGCATGATTTGCAACAGATACCACTTGTTTCCGCATATAGAACAGCACATGGACTTACTGGACTAAAGGCTCCTCCAATCGTATTTTCTTCCTGTTATTCTCAGTTCCAAAAGAGCTCATTTCGTCGTCAAAACTGTTACTAGTTTGAAAATTCAAGCCACATATGAAACGTCAGGATAAAGAGTTCAAGTCGAAACAGGAATAAACAAAATACGCGTGCAAATACATGATTTTTAAGCACTTACTTGTGACATTTTCGTCCAATCATAGGCAACTTACCTTAAATTACAGATGGCCTGTACTTGTCTTGTATATGAATATGTCAGATATGATTCTCGATCGCAAACAGTGCTATTTTTAAAGAGAAATTAGAAGAAAACGTCAGTGTTTTCTACAACGACCTGCAAAGACATACGAAATATAATCACGTGGGATCAAATTATCCAATCAACACACGGCTTTCATGCAGTCGGAAACGGGGTCGTCGAATAACCAATCGCTCACTATTTTCCATTATTGTTTGGACCTT